TAGGAGCTTTACTAACTTGCCAGGCAAGTTCATGGCACTGTCTCCTATTAGCTGACAGCACATCAAGCGTGATATTGAGCAGCAGTGGCAGATGTGGCGATGGCTGCTTCATCACTTCAAAAATCATGGACAGGACTCTGTAGTTGTAATAGCACAGTGATTCCATGTTTTTAAGGGTCTGTCACTCTGTTGCAGGCAGGTGTTAGTAAACTGGTCCTTCTAACGCTTCCAGAGGATGTGCTCTTTGGGGAGTGGTAGGTGATGGAAATGCATACGGTGAGGTCCCAAAAAAAATGGGCCATGTGAGATGCTCAGCCCTGATGAGGAACTCACACCCCCTGTCTTGCCTTACAAAATGTTACTGCTGCTGCTGCTACGGTGCTTTGTGCAGCTTGGTGCCATCAACAAAGCAGAACAAACCATCCCTCATTAGAATGGAATCACTCTCTAAGTGACATGAAAAGAGGGATGGAATTTCAGTAAGAGGCGCAGCTTCACCACAAAAGTCATGGATCACCACATTGAGCTTAATAGGACTGTTCTCATCAAGGGAAAAAAATGATCAAACAGCAGCTGTGATGACGTGGGAGCTTTTTAACCCACTGCAGCTTACCAGCAATCTGCTCTCCACTTCTGACAGAAAAGACTTTCAGCATCTTTAGGGTAAGTGTCTTAAGGGAAGAGTGGTGTCAGTACTAATAATCAAATGATAGAGATATTTTCTTGCAGCCTTGCTAGCGCAGATTTTTGTCTTAACCTCCTCAGTTGTAGTAGAAGAAATATCCCAAAGTCTGCACAAGGTACATCCCTTTGGCAATGCCATCAAATCGATGAATTTCTATGAAGAGATTAATTTGGACAGTTAAGCGCAAACTGCTGCTGTCCCCATCACAGTAGTGCTGTTGTCTTCTCTTCAACAAGGAATTGCTTTGTCTGCATCGTTTTGTGAATATGCATTTGGCTTATGTTGAAAGTCTTAAACTATCACTTGCTGGTATTTTTATTTTCTGTCAAAAGAGAATATATGACATTAATTGATTTTCTGTCTATTTTTTCTGAGGAATTAAATGAGCCTATAACTACACAGTTGCCTAGCAATGCAGACACTGAACTGCAGTACACACACCACTTCTTGGTAAAAAAAAAAATATAATAAAGAACATTAAGAAAGCAGTGGCAATGACAAGCTCTCACGCAATTATGAGTGGAGGTTGATTAGCACTGTTTTCAGGAAAGAGCTTGGTGCCATTTGGCCCAGGAACGCTCATCAGTGAAAGAAGAGAAGCATTTGATGTGCAAGCCACCAGCTTAGTAAGGAGGAGCGAGGATACCAGCAGTAATGAGGACACTGAGGTTTGGAGTGATGTACTGGCCACGTTGGTGTCCTACACCTGAGATCTACCACTTAGGACATCAATAATGCAATCCAGTGACATGCATCGAGGTGTAGGCTTGCTGAAAGCAACGAGGGAATGTGTAATCTGCTGAAATCACATTGCTGAAACTTCTAAGCACTAACCTCTATCACAGCGATCCAAATTACATGACGAGTGAGGATTTCACTGTGATCGTGGCTGTAATTGCACCTGAGATGATCCATGGGTGAGGAGGAGTCATCTACCAGTGACTAAAAGCTCTGCTGGTAGCTCGTGATCTGTGCATCAGATGTATAAGACTGGCACATCAGGGCTTGGTGTGAAAGGGGGCTTTAGGCTAAAGCAGTGCAGTGAAGGTGTGAAAAACATGGAGTATCATTATTGCAGCTGTGATGAGCAGTAAGATAGCAGAATAATGAGCAGCACATTCATGGTCTAAATCACTAATAAAGGCTTGCACCAGGTACTTGTGGCAGCGGAGGGGGGACGACACACAACAAGAAATGGCCAGGTGGGATATTCAGGGGAAGAAGTGAAGATGGTGATGCTCATCGGTGGAGCTTGCATGTGTGCTTAGCACAGTGGGAACCTCCTAGCTGACCAGAGAGTGGATAATAGATGCACAACAGAAAAACATGCACAGAAACAACAGATTAGAGCCTATTCAGCAGGGAGCAGTAGCACAAATGCTTTGTCATCATTTGTAGGTTTGTTGCGTTTTTTTCTTGCCTGCTGCCTGATCACCTGCACCAGGCACATTATTTACTTGGTGGCCCTGTGTAAGGGAACCTATGTCTGCATGACAAATTCTCTGAAGGTGTGCAGTTGGGTCAGATGGATCCTTTGAAGAGATAGGATAAGAAATACCCTTCTGGAGCAGGCAGTAGACGAGCAAAGGAGTGAGAAAAGTTGCTCTGGTGCTTGGTAGGATTGAAAAGAGAGATTTCTGAAAGCTGTAGAGGGCATGAGGACATTGTGTGGGAGAATGTTTCTATAATTAAAGGGTATTGCAAAGTCTGGCTAATTTGGCGTGCACGCACAGCTGGATGCATCTGCCTTGGCACGCACACGTGTGTGGTGCTCAGGGGTGCGCACTCAGAGTATGTGCTGAGCCCTTCACAGAAACTCAGTACAAAGAGCTCCTAAAATATACCGCTGGGGGAGAGGAGCTGAGGCTGCCAGCACAAAGAAGCTGTGGAGTTTAAACCTTGCTTAAAAGCCTCTGCAGTCACCTGAAAAAAGCCTCACTCAAAGGCTTTCAAGGGAAAGACAGTTTCAAGTTGTCTTTAAAGCTCCCAAAGTACTTAAGGCTATAGCTATATGTGTAGGCAATGCCGTGCAGAGGGAACAGACCCTGGCAAAGATGGAGCTGATATCCACACTGTGTGTTTGGGGGGTTTCCTCCAGCTGGTCCATCAGGCTGAGCACTGGCTGGCAGCTGTACGACATGGGGTGCATGAGGGGCACCCCTGGAGAGCACCTTCAGGTCGAACATCGGCCGAAGAGAAGGCTCAGTCACCTGCGGCTTCTCCAGGTGCTTTCCCTTCTCCCTTCCCTTCCTCTGAGAGAACAGAGATGGGCAGGAGGGAGGGCAGCCCCCATTCTCCCCTCCTCCTGAGGGAAGCTGAACCCCTATTTACTGCCTGCTTGGCGGATGCTCAGACCATCAAAAGCTGGAGGATACCCTGAGGTGCAGATCTATTGATGTGTATTACTTTGAACCATGAATATTTCATTACTGGAGAGAGAGAGAATATGAATCAATAATTCAGGAGTACGGAAAGGGGAGGGGCTGGGGTTGAACCACTGCCAGAGGATGCGTTTCACTTTTTGAAACACTTAAACTCTGTGGTTTCTTCAAAAACCATCTTAATAATACACACCTACAATCTTTTCCGTGAAGTCTTAAAGCCACTATCCTCATCAGAGGAACAATCATACCTTGCCCCATCGCTTTAATCAATGAGCAACATTTAACACAAGGTTTCAAACCACAAACTTCCTTCTGGAGGTTATCCCTGATCCAGCCTCCCTCTGGGGCCAGAGGAAAAGAGGAGAGAAAACGGGGTTGGGAAATACAGAGAGAACAAACCAGAATTAATTGAACAATAAAGTCACAAGGAGGGAGCCAATGTAGTTAGTTACACACAACAGCAATTATATTTCTGTTCTAATTTCATTTCGAACTGAGCCTTGAAGTAAAAGAGGAGATAAATGACTGAAGAAAAAAAGGAGATAAGGATTACTGATACAGAAAAAAATAATCCTAATTTTCCAGGGAAGCAAAACAGGTTGCTGCTTCTAAAGCATTGAGCTGAGATCTCAATTTCCAGCTAGAATTATCTGGAACTTCTGTAGTTTCAAAGGGCTTAGAAGGAACTCATTTTGCCAAATCCACACCTGTTTGCTTGGAAATACTGGTTCAAACTATTTGCTGCTTAAAGCAAAAAAAAAAAAAAAGTTTTGAAATTGCTGAAATATCTTGCTTCCAGAAGCATACCTTTCAAATCCAAATCTTCCGATATGGGGGTTAGAACACCTTTATCACAGTAAACTTCAGAGATGGTTTTCGAATGTGTAAAATGGTGGCATCAAAATGCAACATTTTACCTTGGCACTCTCATTTTTTTTAAATACGGATTGAAGCTATTTCCTTGTATCACTTGTTTTTGTCCTGACAAATCACGCAAAATGTTTTCCCAACCTGCTCTCTCCCTTTGTGACAAATCCCCACAAGAAGAGCAACATGCTGTGTTACTTGAAGCAGCAGAACACTGGATTGATACACATTTTCTTCCACGGACAGCACTTAAAACATTTATCCTGTCCTACAGGGAGAGAACCTTTTTATTATCTTGGTTTTAAAGACAAAACTTAATATCGCCCATACGTACAACAACAGCACCGGCCTTTGCAATTCCCTTGTAAAACGTGCATCGCTGTGAGTGCTCATTTGTTCAAGAAGAAGCAGAACAAAGGCTGTAATATTGCCTCAGATTTTCTCAAAAAAAGAAAAAAAAAAAAGAAAAAAGAAAAAAGAAAAGATGGCCTGAGGTGTATTTATGTTGGTGAATGCAGACTACAGGAGAAGTACAGGCATTGGTACATTAACTTTAAGCTGGTAGGGCACGGTTATTATATCATTAAATAATTAAGTTTGTGAATAAAATCCTGACAAAATCTCTACTAACTTCAGCAGCATTTAGATTTCACCCCAGGTTCTTTAGCAGGAGACTTATGTCTTTCTACAGTGAAATAAGAGATGAAGCAAAAAAGACATTAAATAGCTCAATATATGGCACAGCAGGGATCAAGCTGATGCACTTAGACACTTCGATGCTTAGAGGAATCTCACCTTGTCTGTCTGAATAGATTGGCTTTAAATGAAAAGAAAACAAAACCACAAAACTCTTAGTATTTTCTGAGCCCTTCCCAGCTCTTCCAGCATCCTCGACTGACTGGTCACGGCACCGCCACCCTCAAGTCTGGGGAAGCTGGTACACGCGGAGGGGCATT